GGGAAATCTTGTAATGAAAGACTAAAAATAAAATAGTCAAAAATTAGTCTAAAATAAATCCTCCTCTCAAATCAGAAAAACTAGGATATCTCATCCCTGACATTTTAAAGATGAAAGTACTAAGCTCCAACTCTTTTTAAAGGAGCAAACCCATTCTTATGCTGATAATTCTTCTTTAGGTAGCAGGTGCATTTTCTTAGGCTGTTGTCTTTAATGAAGTGTTACAGCCTCTGCTCTGAAAACCAAGGAGACTTTGCCCTACATCCTAAGTTGTTCTTATGCTGTTCTCTGTAGCAGACTGAGGAGAGAGATGTCCTGCCAAGCAATAATAAACAGGATTTAGGTGTAAATTAGGCTCTGTGTATCATCTGTGATGTACAGAATAGCAGGGACCCATGGTTAACAGTTTGAGAGCTACTCACTGTGTCTATCAGCTCCTCAATGAAATCCTCCTCGGTTCTTTGCACTAAAGCCATCTCACCTGGCTTTCCCAGGCAGCTGAATGAGATGTTTTGTGTGCTGGATGGCAGATGTTTGGGCTGTGCATGTCTCAGAGATGAGGGTAATACATTTCCTTGTGACAGTGCTCAACTCTGGCAGGTCCAACAGACCTTAATCTGTCTGAATCCAGTCCAAGCAGTTACAAGAGTTGTTTGTTTCTTGTGCTTTCACTGCAAGCTGGGCTTGCAGGAGCCATGGTTTAGCTGTCAGTGCTGTGTTACCTCTTGCATTTGTTGGCTGGCACGTTGAATCACTGTAGCTGCATTCAGGATTAGTTGGAGCTGTGTGTCCCACCTAAGTGTGGGGGTCCCAGTTGCCAGGGTCCCAGTTGTTGATTTCTCTGGTTCTGGATTTTAGGCACTTGAGACAGTAAATTGTGTTTGGACTCAAGTGTTTATTATTTCTGGTCAGTAAAACAGTCTCACTACTGTGAATCCAGCAGCTTTTCATTAGAAGGCACAAAATGGCCAACAATCTCTTGTTACAAGGGCTTTTAAGACTAAACTATCCAATTAAGAAAGGACACCTAGATTATTTTCCCTTTTAACCCAATAACTGATCCCACAGAGCCCACAATGCAGACTCTTCTGCCCAATTACAAAATGCCACCCAAACCCATGAAGAAGAAGGAAGAAGAAGCATGAAGGGGAAACCCAGGATGACACCCTGTGCCCTCCATCTTGCTTCCATCCACAGCATACTAAAAATCCCAAAACCTCAATTTCTCCCCAAGTGATACACCTACACTGCTCTCTATAATCTATTTCACACTTTTGTGGATTCCAGTCTATCTTGAAGTCTGGGAAACTTTCTCCATGAATGAGGGTGAAAGTCAGTGCTGCCCTGGGGGTCAGGGCACCCCAGAGCAGACAGAGAAATATTCCCTGTGGTGCCCTGGGTTTCCACACCTAAGTGACACCAGAGCACGTGGGCCCTTCAGAGTTCAGCTGGGTTGATGCTGGGGTGGGAAGGAAAAGTGGCCAAGGAAACCTGAGGCTCCCCACAAAGTCATTCAGTGACTCAGTCAGTGGCATCTGCCCTCTAAGTCAGCCCTAAATCCTGACCTGGCAAGCTTGTGATGGGCTGGAGGCATCACTGTACTGAAGAAGGTCCTGGTTTGGGCAGGGTGAGAACCAGTTCTCACTATGTGTGGAAAAGGGCACTGATCACCTCAGGGGTTGTGGAGTGCACAGACAGAGCAGAAATCAGTTGTGCTGTCCCTGTGATGAGGCAAGGGAAGCTGAGCAGCAAGACCCAGAGGGTTCAGACCTCCAGGGTTCCTTGGTGGGTGCCACAGCAGAAGGCGCCTCCCCAGGCTCCTCTCCAGGAACTTTTAGTGCTGCCTTTGTGCCTCAGGTTTTAGCTTTTATATTTTTCAGATTCTGTGCTGCTTTAGTGTGTAATTCTGAGCTTCATATTAGGGGATGGTGAGCTCTCTGCATAGAGAAGGGGGAGAAAACAATTCCTTCTCTAGCTGGGAACCAAGGACAAATCTCAAACCCAAGAGCATCAACAACGTGGACTGAAGAGAGAAAAACAAGAAGGATGGGACTTCATAAACTGAAGCTGTAATTGGACAATTAATGCCAATATGCAAATGGAGCAGAACTTATAAAAGTGACAGACCCTGTGACTGGTTGTGCATTTTGTGACCATTTTGGTTCATCTTGGGTGCAGCCTTGGCTGGGCTCTTGTGCTGCCCAAGGTGGATCCATGGAGGCCTCCGAATAAATCCCTACTTTATTCTTTAGCTTTGTCCAGCCTCAGCTCTAGGTCAGCCCTCACAAGGCATCAGCCTGGCCATGCATGGGCATGGGCTGCTCTCTGTTCTGGAGGGGAGATCTGGGGTACCTGGCACCATTTTGGGTTGTGTCAAACACTTTCTAGACCAGACAGAGAAGGTTTTGTAGACCAATGATTTCCGCAGGCTGAGAGACTTAAATTTAATCTCAGGCTGCTCCACCTGGAGAACCTCAGCCTTGCAGAGGGGATGAGAGAGGAGCCTGTGAACCATGCAAGCCTTTGGTGTCTGGGTGTTGTGTGTCTCCAAGACAGGTGGAACCAGAACCCAGCCAAGGCAGAGCCCCACTTCGTCCCTCCCTTTTGGAGCATCCAGCTCTGAGCTCCTCTGACACAGCAGGAGTTTCACAACTGCCAAGGGGCACCTGGGGGGTTTAGGTGCTTGCAGATGCTTAAGCAATGTTAGTTGAAGTTTTATGGAATGGATCTCAAATACTTGTGTCTCCTGATTTTTTTTTACTGTGCCAGGAGTTGAGCCCAGGCCTCTAGAGTCCTGATAACACACAGAATCCACAGATCCAGTATTCTTTGAGACCATTTTGGGGCACAGAGGATCCCATAATGGTTTTGTAAGAGCTGCAGTATTTCTTACACTTGCCAGTCAGATTACCTGGGAGTAATTGTCTCTGTAGTTTCAATACCACAATGGCTGCTCCTTCTCTTTCTCAGAAAGTCTTGTATAACATTTTTGGAGCATTTCTGCATCTCCTCAGAAATGAGGGATCTCCAGAGCTGGTGGTAAGTTCTGCCAGCCAGGTTTGCTTTGGAAAATCTGGACACCCCATGCAATAAACAGCAAAATGCAAAGTCAGCATTTCAGTATTATTTTATTCTCAGGGAGCAAACTGAGGGGAGAGAAGTACCTGTTGAAGCCTTGGATTTTTATTTTTTTTTTCTTTCTTTCTGACAGCCCTAAAACACCTGGGTGGCAGGAGGGACCCCCATTCCCCATGTGAGATATCTCCCTGTGCTTCCTGGCACGATGTAACCATGTGGGTTTATCAGCTCTCTGGCTCTGCTTTGCCTTACAAGGAGTTTAATCTCTCTTGCACCTCTCTGCCCCCCTGACCTGACAGCTGACAGAGCACAGCCTCACATTTCTCACCAGCTCTCAGCTCTCCCATTGGACACAGTGGAGCTGGCTGCATCCCCCTTCCCAGACACATTTCCCCCTGCCCCATCCCAGCTGCTTGCCTTACATTGGGCTCCCTCCAGCACTGCTCACTTTCCTAAACCTTTTTTTCCAAAACCTCATTTTTGCACATGGTTTTGTCTGATGTGGGGGTCATCCTGCTTTTAAATATGTGGCCCTCTTTGTCCTGCAAGAGCCAAGGCACAGGGTTGATTAAGTCAGCAGCTCACACAATATTTTCAGAGAAAAGAAAATGCATTTAAAATGTACTGTGATATAAATATAAATATGCATATGTATGTGTGTACCTATATATAGGTATAGGTAGCGCAGGGACAAAGGAGAATCTTTGGGCTGGAATCTCTGGGGCTGTGAGTCTGATTCCTGCTTGTGGCACATCCTCCTTACATGCTCATCAATAATATCTTTTTTTATTTCCCCATCCCTCAGTTTCCCCAGTCTGCACTGTGCAAAATGATAAATGTTCCTTTGATCACGAAGCCTCTGTGGTCCCTGAGCTTTTTGCAGTGAGGAGAACCTCCCTTCTGGCACCAGCAGTGCCTGAGTGATGGGAATTTAAATTCTCCTGTACTGTCAGCCTGGCTGGAGGCCCAGATAAAGTGGGTGGTTGCCTGGAGAAGCAGACAGCTGCAGACACCAAATCAGGCAGTGAAAGCTTTCTCTAGCAGCAAGGGGAAAGTCCCAAAATTTTTTGGACAGGAGACCAAAGTGTCTCCCCCTCCTTCTCAGTGAATTAAGTTCTAGGAGCAAGAGCTGGACACCTGAAGGGGAATATGGGGGAGGTTTCCCCCCACTTTGGGACCCTGGACACTCTCAGAGGGAGGATGTGAGGTCAGACTTCATCATCAGTATCCTCCCCCAGCCTTGGTTATAGTTACATGCACACAGTTGTAGGATGCTTCTTGGAAATCCTGTTTTGAACTCCCCAAAGATGAAATACCCCTTTTGAAGGGGTCCCAGTTATTCCATCACCATTTAACTTACAGCAACAGCACCAGGCAAGAACACAACCATTAAGCTGGGTGGGATGTTTCTCCATCCTCCCCAAAAAATCTTGAGGGGTTCGTTGTTGTGGTGTTGAGAGGGTCCTCAGGATGAGGTGAGAGATGAGAATCTGACTCCAGGTTCTCAGAAGGCTGATATTATATTATTATATTATTATATTACTATATTACTATATTATATTAAAATTATATACAAAAACTATTCTAAAGAAAGAGAAAGGAGACATCAGAAGGCTAGACAAGAATGAATAATAAAAAACCCGTGACTGACTCAGAGAGTCTGACACAGCTGGCTGTGATTGGTCATTAATTAAAAACAATTCACATGTTTTGATAAGCAATCTCCAGGCCACATTATAGAGGAACAAAACATGGAGAAGCTGAGGCTTCTCATCTTGCCAGGAGAAGAAATCCTGGCAAAGGGATTTTTCATAAAATACCACAGTGACAGTTCATTTGTGCGCAGGGGTACAAAACTGGCAGGGATTTCACTGGGCAGAGCTGGGGCCTCACTGATCCAAGGTGTCCTTCTGTCCTTGCAGCCTGACACACGTCATCTGTCACACCTGCTTCAAGAGGCAGGAGAGGCTGCACCGCTGCGGGCAGTGCAAGTTTGCCCATTACTGCGACAGGACCTGCCAGAGAGCAGCCTGGCTCAACCACAAAAACGAGTGCTCTGCCATCAAGAGGCATGGCAAGGCACCCACCGAAAACATCAGGTGAGAGCTGGCCCCCGTGGCCTGGGAGAGGACAGGACAGACATGGGACATGTTCTTCTTGTGGCAAAGAACAGCTGGGTGGCCTGATTTGGGCAAGGTGGAGGTGGGAGAAGGTTTAGGATAGGCCAGGAGCATCCCTGAGATAGGGAAGGTACGTGGAGGAGTGTTGTGGTGTTGTGAGGGTCCCCAGGACGAGGTGAGAGATGAGAATTGACTCCAAGTTCTCAGAAGGCTGATTTATTATTTTATGATATTATATTAAAAGAAATTATATACTAAAACTGTACTAAAAAAAAAGAGAAAGGAGACATCAGAAGGCTAGATAAGAAATTATAATGAAAACTCATGACTGACCAGAGTCCAAACACACCTGGACTGGGATTGGTCATTAAGTTAAAACAATTCTCATGCTGGGTAAACAATTCTCCAAATCACATTCCAGAGGAGCAAAACATGGAGAAGCTGAGGCTTCTCATCTTGCCGGGAGAAGAAATCCTGGTGAAGGGATTTTTCATAAAATATCATGGTGACAGAGAAGCATCAGTGGTGCAAGAGATGTGTTCTTGTTTGGGTTTTTCTTGGTGCTGGGCCCCAAAAACTCTGAACATGGTAAGGTAAAGCTACCCTGCATGGTTTAGGAAGTGTGGGAAACTGGGGAGTAGGTGGGAAAGTGAAAGAAGAGATGGGTTCTTCCCCAGTTTGCCTATAGGATACACTAACTTTATTGTATTTGCTGGGAATGTCCCGATGAAGGCAGGAATGATGAATCTCACTCCATGTTCTCAGAAGGCTAATTTATTACTTTATTATACTATATTATATTGAAGAATACTATACTAAAGAATACAGAAAGGATACTTACTCAACACTAAAAAGATATATAAAAATGAAAATAATGAAACTAATAATGAAAACTCCTGACTCTTTCCAGAGTCCCGATACAGCTTGGCCCTGATTGGCCAAAGACTGAAACCAATTCACACCAGAGTCCAATGGAACAATCACCTGTGGGTAAACAATCTCCAAACACATTCCACACGAGCACAACACAGGAGAAGCAAATGAGCTAAGAATTGTTTTCTTTTTTTTTTTTTTTTGAGGCTTCTCAGCTTCCCAGGAGCAAAATCCTGGGCAAAGGGATTTTTCAGAGAATGTGAATGGCACATACCTTGTCTTCACATTCTAGCTCCACCATAAAAAAATGAGAGGAATCCTCAAGGGAACTGGGAGCAGTTGTGGAGGGCTGGGGACCTGGGGATCTGTAGAACATCTCCAGATGAGAACACACGTGCTGGGACAAACCCTGCATCTCCCTGTCCTTCAGAAGGCTGAGGATGCTGACCATCCATCACCCACTGGATGCTGAGCCTGTCTCAGTCAATCTACCTTCACACCATTCCCCCCAGGAGATGAGTTTTGATGAATTTTGTTTTCTCCACGATGAGTTTTGATGAATTTTGTTTTCTCCACGATGAATTTTGATGAATTTTGTTCTCTGCCCGTGGTGCTGTGACCCCGTGGCTGTCCCCTGGCCAGGCTGGCTGCCCGCATCCTGTGGAAGATGGAGCGGGAGGGCACCGGGCTGTCCGAGGGCTGCCTGGTGGCCATCGAGGAGCTGCAGAACCACGTGGACAGCTTTGGGGAGGAGGAGAAGAAGGAGCTGCGTGCTGATGTGGAGAGTTTCCTGGAGTTCTGGCCGCCCCACTGCCAGCAGTTCGGGATGCAGCTCATCTCCCACATCTTCGGGGTGGTATGTCCGAGGGGGGCAGTGCACCTGGGGAGGGTTTGTCATGCCAGCTTGGGGAGAAACTCTGCAGCTGGCCTCATGGGAGGATGGCTGACTTCATCCCATTCCCCACCTGCTTCTCCTCTGCACTGACACTGGGAAATTGAGGCATAGCAAAGGCTGAAGCATTTTGTCTGTCTCAATGTGCAGACGAGTGTTTTGCTCAACCATAGGTGCTACATTTTCATCACAAGTCCCACTGGGCATCTCTCTGCACCTGGGAGAGCTGAGAAAGTATATTTTTAGTGAATACATCTAGAATATATTTGAATATAGAAGATCTGGTTTAGTCGATACATTAATGTCTACTAATATTGCGTGCATTAGATTTTTTACATTGACATAATATATACAATAAAAATAGTAAAAAATGGAAATATATTTAATAATATCAATCACGAAGTTGTTAACTACACATTTTTGTTCCTAGCGTAGCAGAGAGGAAAATTCCAGTTCAGGCTGAGCTGCTTTGCTCCCAGCCCTGGGTATCCCTGCACTGCCCCCTCAGCTCCCAACACTGCCAAGAGGAGACACAGGCTCTGCTCACCCCTCTGCCAGTGGCTGCTGTGCAAGACAAGCTGGCCTTTGCCACTCCCAGCACAGGGAGAGGACACAGCATGCTTTGGTCCTTTCTTTTGGTACCCACACCACAAAGAAAACCCAGTCCACTGGACACAGGGAGACCCTCTGTGCTAGTGACCAGCATAGCTTGTCTGTGCAGGAGAAGGAAGTACAGAAAAACAACAGAATCAGTTCACAAAGGAAATAAAACTATTAATAGGGTAAAATAATCAGCAGCTGAGTTAATTATTTCCTTTGATTTATCCTATCATGTTTTCTCTTTGCAGATATTTCCATTATTTATGCTTGTGACTAAAAACTGCTCTGTTCATAATAGTGGATCATATAGAAAAGTGAAATAATTCATTCTTGGAATATATGTCATGCAAAAGTAGGAATGCTGAAAATTCACAGCAAAGAGTAGTAGCTGGTTTTTATGAGTTTTGAGGGCAACCCAGCAAACATGAACAGGTTCAATACAGCAGTCAAGGTTAATTTCTAACTGATACCTGTTTTCATGAGTGTGAACTTTGCTTTCTGCCTGAATTGCCTCAAAGTCATTTTCCTGTGACCTTTCTCTGGATTATTTTCAGGAACCAAATATAAGGAAATCAATGCATGGCCAAACCAAGTTTATCTTAGGCATCCCAAGTGAACACTGACAGCAAATATTCTCTAACATTGACTCAGTTCTGGCCTGGTCCCTCTGCACAAGTCCTGCATTGCTTCCCTTCTGATGCTTTATCCCAAATGGAGTGTTTCAGCTTTTTCTGCTTTAACACTTCTTCCTGCCTGTGTTTTGGGGCTAGATCAGCTGCAATGGCTTTACCCTCAGTGACCAAAGAGGACTGCAGGCTGTTGGTGTGGGAATCTTCCCCAACCTCTGCCAGGCCAACCACGACTGCTGGCCCAACTGCACTGTCGTCTTCAACAATGGCAAGTGAGTGGATTTCTTTCCTTTGGTGCAGCAGGGATGGATCCTAACAGCCAAAACTCAGCAGGGTCTGCCACCCCCAGTGCCAGGTCCCTGCCCCAGAAAAATCTATTCATTCTTCTTTCCTTCTCTAGCTCAGAAAAAAAAACCCAAACAGTATTTTCTTGCTGAAGACAAACTGGTTTTTCTCCTCATTATTTAAAAAATTGCCATCTGATGCACTAACAAATACATAAGATTTGACTCCAAATCCAGCAACTAGCAAAGAATTTTTCCCTAGTCTCTTATGAGTTTTGTAACTAGTCTCAAAATAGGTAGCTAAAGTAGTAGTAGCTGTTTAACTCACCCCTTAGATTGAAGTCTCATTTATAGACAGTTGAGGAGTAATTCTACTTGCAAATTATCAAGCATTATGCTGAGTCTACAACCCAGGAGTTTCTCCTAACTGAAGCTTACACTCAGCTGTGTATCACTGTCTGCTGGTGTGTTTATAACCATTCCTAACACAGCCCCCAGCTGGTGAGAGTGCCATCTCAATTAATCACTGATTAACTCTTTAGCAACGAGACCTTAGTGACAGGTGTGATTGTTATCTGCAAGCAGAGTCACCTGAGAGTGCAGGGTGCTCTCAGTCTCTGGTCATTCCCTATTCCCACCCCAGTCCTGTAAGAAAACCTCTGCAGGACGAGTGAGATGGGAAAACATTCAGTGGGAGATGGGAGATGTTTCAGCAGAGCTGGGAGGGGAGGCAGCCCACAGGAGGGATGCTCTGCCCTTCCCAGTTTCCAACCCATGGCAGGTATAAGCTGCTGTTGATTCAGAAAGTTGCAGTGTGTGCAAAACATTAACTGTGGGAAATTGCTTGCCAAAAACTGCACAGCCACAGGATTTCCTCTGATCTTTCTGCTATTTTACAGCTACCTGTCCTCACTAAACTTCAGTGCTATAACTTAACCACCCCTCTTCCCCCCTGCCCCTCCTTTTTTAACTAACACATTGGTTCTGCACTCCAGTTATCACTGCTGGTTTTCCCTGATAAAACTACACCAGAATTTTCCAAGCAGCTGATAAGCCAAGAGAAAACAAAACTGGGTGATTACCTTGGTGGGAAATAGAGTCTGATCCAAAGTCAGGTTGGAGTCTGTACTATGATATCCAGTTGCCCTGGATTGGATCCATAGTGGGCTGATAGAAAAGCCTCTCCAAACAGCTCCCAGCAGTGATAACAGCCCTGACTTTCTGGGTAAGTACAGGAATGGCATTGATTTGCCTGGCAGCTTGTCAAATCTCCCACATGTATCTGGTTACTGACTTTAAACTTGACCATCAGGTTATTGGCCAGGTAAATTGTGGCTGATAGCCCAGTCTGATTTCCATTTCAAGCTGTGTTCTAGAGAGCACAGCTGATGTCAGTGGAGACCTTTCTGTGCAGGAGATCCAGTCCCCTTGCTCCTGCCAAATATCAGGAGCAGGTTTTTTGTGTTCCCTGACCTAGACCACTCCTAAGATCACAGTGCCAGGGCAGTTCTCCACCAAATCCTCTATGGCCCAGTGATGGACAGTTTGGTCCTGGCAGCTGCACATCCAAAGGGAAGCTCTCCTGCAGTGCCAGGCACAGGCAGCCCCCTTGTCTCCTGTCAGTGCAGTGTCCAGTGCTATGCCATGTACCCATTTTTTTGTTGTTGTACTTGTACATGTGTAAACTGCAGATGTTTGTTTTGTCTTTCAGTCATGAGGCTGTAAGATCAATGTTCCACACACAGATGAGGTGGGTCAGTCTTGAAAGCATCATTCTCCTCCATTACCCTGTACCCCCCATGTCTAATGGAAAAGATGCAAAGACCCCAAGGGGCTCCCTCTGTTTACTCCAAATTCCACTTTTCCTGTTTTCTAAACTTCTCCTCTTCCCCTGTGTAAAGCCCCACTAAACCCAAACCTCACTTAACTCTGCATTTTGTAGTAAATTAAAATAATAGTGGTAATAGACTGTCTTCCCCAGGGTGAATTCACTCTCTGCCTTCCCACCCCCTCCCTTGGCTTCCTCCCTGTCAGTATTTCCCCTCTCCACTTCTCATTTCTCCTCCCCTGACCATGGCAAGAGCATGAAAGTCAGAACAAGGTCTTGCTAATCTTGTACAGCCCAAAATAAAGCCTTGCATATTAGGAGATGAGAAATGACTGTGTTACTGACACACTAAATACTCATGCAACTCATGTTTCTCCTGCAACAAACTGTGCCCGAGGAATGTGTTGCCTACAGGAGCAGTACCATGAGATGTAGGTTTCAATTCCTTTTTATCATAATCCATGATTAATGTTCCACCTTTTAATGATGCCACTGTTACCTGATCCAAACTAAATAAATCACAAAAAAATGTGGAAAAAAAAAGTCTTTGCTTGACTCATGGCATTTGGTATATTATAGTTAGTGTTCTTAAGGGGACACTGTTTGCCTTTAAAATTTAATTTCAAGCAGGCATGCACTTTCCTCAAAGAAGATGTGAAATGCATTTGAAGTGCTCTTCTTCACCACTGAATCTTACTCAGTACATTATAGATAGGGCCATAAAAAAGGGGGAAAAAGAGTTTCAGTTCTGATTAGAGTTGCTATTTGGGGCAATTTGAGTTTTGAGCGATCAGGCACTCTCTGTGCCTGTGCATGCAGCTATCCAGGTCCCTGCTGCTCGTGGCAGACACTGGGGAAAGAGCCCTTGACAAGCTCAGTGGTCTGCTCCTGGCTGACAGTGTCTCTTTAACTACAGTATTTAAAGTATGCCATGTGTTTCCTGGCTTACCCCAAGGGCTATCAATGCCCTCCACACAAGGGATGGCTGCTTAAAATACCCCTGTGGTGCTTGGGCTATCAGGGGCATCATGAAAGTCAGAGGCTTGATTTTGCTTCTCTGGTTGCATGACTCACTTTGACAAGGATCCTGTGAAGTGTGAACAGGAATGTTTATGTGTGTAAACTTTTCAGCTGGGAATTGCCCTTTTTTGTGCACTTCCTCCTGGAATAGCTGATTGCACCTTTCTCTGTCTGGCACTTTCCTGTGGTTGTGACATAACTAATAGCTGCCCTTTGTGACAATGGCATGTTTGGTGGTAAATTTTGTATGAAACTTGGTTTTGATATGGCAACACCCAGAGAAGATCAAGACCAGCCTTGGAGAAGAATTTTGACAGCAGCTTTAGCAGAGCTGGAAGACTTAGAGCTACGCCCTTGGAACTGAGAGCCTGTAGCAGGAATTCCAAGGGAATTAAAAGGCAATTACAGGAGAATTAAAATCCCTTTGCAAAAACATGATCCCATAGAATAAGTCATGTCCTTCCCAAAAGGCTTCCTTGTAAAGCACCAGGTGATAGCTGTGAGTCCTCTGCCACCTCTGCCTTTGGTGAGGCTTTTGTTGGGTTCCACCTAGGGCACCTCATGCTCAGGTGGGAGCCAGCAGGTCCCCCCCAGGTCCATCTCAGGGCAGACATGTACATTAAACACACTGTTGAGCTCACTAATAGCTGGGAGAGGAGGTGGATACAAAAGAACTCCTCACAGTTGGTATTTGATGGATTTTTTCCCCATTCTGGCCAAATTCTCTAGCCAGTTGTGCCTGTTTAGCCCCTACATCTGAGAGATGGCCCAGAGAAACTGGGACATTCAGTATGTGGAGTGAAACAGCAAGGGAATAGTTCTGAATCTCCACATTATTTAAGAACTGTTGTAGGGAATGACATGAGGAAAAGGGAGGTACAAAGGTCTGGCTTTCCAAATCCCATCATCAGGGGCTTGCCATGGATTTCAGTAACAGAGATTGGCAACTGAATTGTGGTAATAGGTCAAATGAGCTACTTAAAAATAGACTCTCTCCAGATAATTACTTCTAAGCTTTTATGTGGAAATGCATGAACAGGGTGAGGGCATCTCTTATGCAGCACCCAGAGGGAATTTATCTTAACTTTTCAAAGTGAAAATGATACCAAAGGCAGCAGAGCTCAGGATCTGGGAGTATAGCCAGGGGTGTGTGGGTAGAATGCAAAACAGCACTTAAAAAAAGACCCCAAATCCAAACTCAGCATTTTGGTGTGTATTTCTGATCTCAATGGTTTTTTTTTCTTCTGGTGAGATCTGCAACAAACTAAAAATTGATGTCTAGGTTGAGTCACCACATGGATAAATTAATGGAGCTATAACTTCTTTATAGCTCAGACCTTTACATACCCCTACCAGGGACTTGTAGAAGAGCAGGAAAACCTGGTGTGAGTGTGTTCATGCTCTGTATTCAGTTACCAGGCTGCTGTTCACCTCTGCACTGCCTCCCTGAAGACTTAAGGCAGCGCCTTAGGGTGAGGGCTCACCTCTGCAAGCAGGGCAGGCTGCAGGATTTGTCCCGGCCGGCTCTGTGGCTGCACTTCTGCTTCTGCTGCTTCTCCAAACGCACATCCCATCTCCTGTGCCCCCAGGATCGAGCTGAGGGCCCTGAGCAAGATTTCCCCGGGGGATGAGTTGACAGTTTCCTACGTGGATTTCCTCAGCCTGAGCGAGGAGCGGCGGACGCAGCTGAAGAAGCAATATTACTTCGACTGCACCTGTGAGCACTGCAAGAAACAGCTCAAGGATGACCTGATGCTGGCAGTGAAGGCAGGGGAAAGCAAGGTAAGGTCTGTCCTGCAGTGTCCAAACCCAGGGGTTGTCGGGTCTGGCTGTCTGTCCCTGCCCCGACACGGGTACGGTGGTTCTTGGGTGGCATGCGTTTCAAAGGACGAGTCTGGACTCTTCAGCTTTTCGATCCTCAGATTGTTTATTGTTTCTTATCTACAAAATTTTCTGTCTGCCCAACAGAGGTCTGATCTGCAAGGCAGCCAAGGGCACTCTGACTACCCACGGGGCGGTCATGTCTTTTTATACTAAAATCTACGTACATGATATTTACTTTTATTTTCTAATACTTTTCACCCATGTTGGCAAGTGCACCTTCACCATAAACCAATCCTCAAGTGCCAACATCACCACAGGAGATGGAAGACAAGAAGAAGAAAGAAGAAGGACGAGACACGCCCTGATCCCTCCATCTTGTCTCCATAACCCCCTGTACCAAAAACCTTAAAGTTTATATTTCACCCTATAAATGTGTCCCTTTTACACCCTTCACTCTAAAGTGATTCTCAAGCCCTCAAACTGCTGTCACTTCTGTGGATGGATCAAAATCAAGCCACCAAACACTCTTGGCAAAATTCCAGGGTTTCCGAGACCCCCAAGGGTTCTCCTGGCAACTCTGGACATAGGGAACGATGTGCTGAGTTCCCACAAGGGGTGGCTGCTTCTCCTCTACCAAGGCACCTGTGGGTCTCTAGGATTGTGGTTTCTCAGCAGTCTATATAGGAACATAGTCAGATTTTGGCAATGTAAAAAAAATGAGAGCAGAACTGGACCTTGATTGGGCACAACAGCAATTCAAGCCCAACATGCAAGGTTAACTTAATCCTTATTATGCAAGATAAGTACAGTTTTTAATTTCAAAAAGCCTCCAGAAGTTGCCTTTAACCTAAAAATCCAACAATAGACAGGATGCAAAAATACTGTAAAATTAGGTCTAGAGCTGAGAAAAAATGCTGGCATTTTGAGATTGTTGTGGTTTTTTGTTTGTTTTTGTTTGTTTGTTTGTTTGTTTGTTTTTTTGTTTTTTTTTGGGGGGGGGTTTTGGTTTGGTTTTGTTTTGTTTTTGTTTTCTGAAAAACTGCAAGGGACTCTACATTTTGAGTGCAGAAAGAGAAATGTGTTGCAGGTGAGCCACGGTGACAGGACTAATGAGGGCTGCTGAAACTCTGTGCTTTGTACCCTCACAGCGGCTCCAGGAATGTGGGAAGCCTGAACTTCCAGCCCCTCTTTGCAAAGGCCTGTGACAAGGAGTTTGCACCTTCACTTGACATTTTTGCAGGCTTGCTGCAGGCAGACTGACTGTGAGGAATTAACATGTTGAACTGCTCATTTTTAAGAAATCTTTCTTTTCCTTGGAGGTCTCACGAGTCATCCAGTAGGAGGTATAAAGCTGTATCTTGCTGTTGGCAGTGGCTTGGCCAGCAGCTCCAGTTTATGAGTGTGCTGGCAGCTCTAAGAGCTTCTTTTTAGTTCCTCTGCCCAAGGATATAATTGCTCACAGGTTTTGTGATCTCTGGCAGTGTTAGCTTGGGGATTTCTACTCCTGCAAGCCTCATAAAGTTTATAAGGGAAGGCAAAGCAAGGCAGAGCAATAAGTGTATCACCAAGTCATTGATCTGCAGTGTTGAGCAGTCCCACCATGAATCAAAGAGCCCAGGGTTGATGTGGAGCAGGTGGGAAACGAAACAGAAAAGTTGGGATGAGGAAAGGTGGGAAAGGAAACAGAAAAGTTGGGATGAGGAAATGTGACCTCACAGAAGCAGTGCCTCCAGGAGAGGCCCAGTGAGATGCAGCTTCCTGGGAAGGAGCACAGAATTCTCAGCCTCCCTCTCAGGAGGTGCCAGGATGCCAAGCTCAGTCCTGTAACTCTTCTTTCAGAGAGATGGAGCCAAGTAAGGCTGGATACTGCAGAGTGCAAATCTCTCCTTGAGAAAGGTTTAGAGAAATACTGTTGAGCTGATACAAGGGAGCTTCCTTATAGGAGAGACAGGAGATGGAACTAGAGGAGACCCTTTCCTTGCTGGGTCATGTTCTCCTCTGCTGCAAATGACCCTGCTATAAACCCATTTTAAATTATCAAGCTTCATCTTACAGCTAATGCTGACAACTGTACCTCTGCACTTCTAATATAAAGCTGTTCAGAGCTCAGTTCTCTGATGCAGAAGGATTTTTATCTGGTTTTCTGCAGGAGTATTTTTGAACACATTCTCCAGTAGACAGCATTAAAAAAAAAATCTCATCCCTCATTCAACACCTGCTATCAAGTCTTGACTGAACAGTGAGACCATGAATCACAGAATGATTTGGCTTGGAAGGGACCTTATAGATCACCTCATTCCATCTGCCCTACCATGAGCAGGGACACCCTTCCACTAGACATGCACCATTCCCTTTTGGAGAGCACAGCACATAGCAGGAGAACATGCACTTCTGTGGGAATGTCCTCCACAGTGTGAAGTGCTTGTGCAGAAAAAGCCTGTAAGTATGCCAGGTGCATGATTTCAGCTATTAAAAATACACCCCATCCACAGACAATAAGCATCCAGGCTGACCTCACCCTCAGAGCACGTTGGCTGTGTCACATTTCCTGAGCTCAGGCACACCTGTCTGGGGGCAGCAGCACTCACAGCTGCATGGAAAAAGTGCTAGGAATACATGGGAGATGGACAGCTTCCATCCTCAACAGCTGCTCTGACCTCCAGTCCTTCACCCCTTCCAAAGAGTAGCAAAGTTCCCATTGTTATAGTGGCAACTGACTTAGAAGTCTAGTAAAGGCAAGGGAGGATTTTTATTAGAAAAAGCCACTGTGGAAATGCTGTTTAAGGTGCCTATTCTGGGAGTCTTGACTCAGCACAGCAATGTGGTTTGCACTGACATTAACATTGCCATTAACATTGCCTTTGGGTGTGCTCTGTGCCCCAGGACACCCTGTGCTGCTCAGACAGCTGCCCAAATCTGATTAGCTACAGTAGCTTCAGTATAATGCTATAGAATAATAAATCATAACACAAATGTTAACATAATAACATCTGAAACAGACAGGGGTAAATGGATCTGAAAATGATGGGTTTTCCTTCAATACTAGACTTTGAAGAGGATCTCCCAACTAGATGAATTTCAGATTCCTCAAAAGTCTCATTGACCAGGTGTGGAAAAAAGTCAATAGTTCAGTCCTACAGTCCTGACTGCCAATCTTTGCATCCTTCATTGCAATATTGGGACTCTGCTTTTGATCTACACCCAGAGGTCTTTCCTGGCTGCTGGCTCTGCTGTGTGTCTCCAGACCAGGCTCTTGCCAAAAATTCCCAGAGTCATGTGACTGTGGGCTGATTTCAGATTCCTCCTTTATGAAAAGGAAGGCCATGATAGATAGAATAGTAGGGAAGTGCAAATTTGAAGGGCTCAGAGAAGCAGAGGATGAATGCTTGTGCTGGATATCATGTTATATTTCAGTATTAAGAGAAGAAAGAGGTGGCAGCTAATTATGAGCTCATTAGTGTTTTGCCAGGGGTTCCTAGATGTGCTTCATGTCTCTAAATGCATGGTGAAACACAAACTTCTTTGAGGTGTGAGGGAAAACACATTTCCCTATCAGGGTGCAGCTGAAATCTGACCTCAGACATCTTAGGGAATTTGGAACTAATGACAGCATTTCTCAGGGTAGGTAAAATCCAGGGATCTTTCCCATTCCACTGATCTCTCATTAAAGACCCTCATTTCTCTCTAGCAGCTGCACTAAGAGCACCTTATACTCACCAGCTGGTGGCTTTCACAGCCTCTTTGGTATCTCACAAGACCTCACAGCTGCAGGGTGAATTCTGCCCCTTCTCCAGAAGGGAAGAATGGCAGGGAGGGTTGAGGAACCTAGCCATGCATCTCAGAGGCACATGGCCAGTACCCTGACAGGAAACACTCGGTGAAGTCAGCAGGACCTTCACCTTTTGACCTGGAACTGGGACATTGCAGCCCATTTCAGCCTTGGGCAGGTCTGAGGGGCACAGTGGCATTTGCAACCAGCAGTGGGAAGCGGTGATGTGGGAAGCATCCCACCAGGGTGATTTGGACCAAGCATTCTTTCAACCAGCACCTCTTGGCATGTGTGAGGCAGTGCCTTTTCCTCATTGGTGTCCCCACTGCTGTCCCCAGCCCTCTGCAGACACGGTGAAGGAGGTGATCCAGCTCTCCAAGGACACGCTGGAGAAGATCAACAAGGCCCGCATGGAGGGACATTACCATGAGGTGAGTCCTGGTGCTTCTGCTCTCTTGCTGCACACACACTGCCCAGGAAAGGAGGCCTTGTCCCCCTCTACATTCCTGATTTATGGATGAAACTGTAAAGCACAACCATGTCTGAGACACCCCAGATTAATTTCTTTTGTAGTGATGACACCAGGAGATTCAGGTGACTTCCAGCGCCTCTGACTGACACAGGTGTTGAAGCCAGGGCTCCTGGGTGAAACTCATGAGTTACAGGGCAGGTGTAACAAGTCAGCCCTGGCAGGTAGCCTCTATAAAAGAAGGACAGTGGGTTTGGGAAAGGAACAAGACCATCAGGGGTCTTTGTGTTGATCTCTTCAGTGTCCTGTGTTGCTCATTTGTTGGGTGCTGAGGATAGGTGTGTGGTTTGGGTGAACCATGGCCCACCTTGGAGCCCAAGCTGCAAGGGCAATGGCTGAGAGAACTCAAGCAATTTTTTTTCTCTCTCTCTTTTGTTCACTCAGGAAATATTTAATTGTTCTCCTCAGAAAGCACTCCAGGTTGAGTAATGACCTCTGGGTTTTAATTGTCTGTGGGAAAAGGCTGAAGCCCCCTGGAACAGAAATCTGGACGCTGACTCATGGCTAGATCAGGCATGGAACAGTGCAGCTCTGTGTCTCCAGCCCCAAGGGTATTAAGAGTATTCCTTGCACTGAATATTTTCAGAAGGCTGGTGGATGGCACTGGGGTATGAGTCCTACAGGCACTTGGTGCTTTCTTCTCCTGAGCAGTAGAAATCACTTTTTCCTCACCAGTTTGAGGAGTGCAAGCCTGGGAGAGAAAGCTGTGAGTTCCAATCATTTTCATAGGCTGAATTCTCTCAATAAATCAAAGCACATCCTCTCTTCCCCAACCTTCACAGAGGCTGGCTCAGCTTCTGGGACTGCTATGGACTGTGCAAACCACAGGGTCTTGGGTCTTGGGTCAGCTTCAGGCCCAAAGGTGTAGGAATGTGCCTTCTGTAGACAGAGTGACAAAACTATCCTTTGCCCCCTTAAAAAGGAAATAAGTCTAGAAGTTGTTTTCTTTGATCAGGTGAAAAAGGCATCTTATAGGCCTGGAGGACTTCACTTCAAACTCAAGGATAGCTAATTGGACAGGAGCCAAAAAGTCCTGCCTGGGCAATTTACTAGAAAAAGAAGAAAGCAAAGCAACTTATTGCTTTTGTGAGGTGTCTTACCAGGGGCAGGAGAGCCGACCTGGATCGGTTTTTCGCTGTAAAGAGTTTTGTTATTTTGCCTTTTATTAAATCTTTTTGTTTCCAACACTGCAACAGAAGCCATCCTGCTGATTTTATGCCTTCTAAGGTAGCTGAAGTATCTTGGGTGTGATGTAGACCTCCAAGAGCTTATGAGACCTGGCTCATAAGCTCCTATTTCTCAAAGGCTCCTATTTCTCAAAGGTGCTTGGACTGACCCTTCCTGTCCCTGCTTCCTCCACACCCAGGTTGTGAAGCTGTGCCGTGACTGCCTGAAGAAACAGGAGCCTGTGCTGGGGGACACCAACATTTACCTGCTGAGGATCCTCAGCATTGCCTCCGAGGTGCTCTCCTACCTGCAGATGTTTGAGGAAGCAGCTGACTATGCCAAGAGGATGGTGGATGGCTACCTGTGCGTGTGTGCCCTACTCCTGGCAGCTCTCTGTGCTCCTGCCATGTTCAGCACTGTGTCACAGGAATCATTTTCTTAGTCTGCTCCCATGAGGGCAGTGATGGTGAAATTCATATGGGGACCTTTTTGTACCACCAGACAGAGAGGGGTCCCTTCCTAAATGCACAAAGGCTCCCAAACACCTTGATTTACTAAACTGGAATTGGCAAATGGTTTAGGAACATCTTTCACTGGCCTTTTTGTTTTGTCTCAGAGGCATCTTAGGGCTGCCCTGATAGCAAGACACAGAGCCTGGGCTGTCACTGCAGGAGATGCCTGTTCCCTGCACCCTGCAGGAAAGAGAGGTCAAAGAGAAACCATGTCAAATGGCTGTCACTCAAGATGTCCCCTCACTCCTCAATATTACATGGATTTTCTCTTGGCTCATTATATAGCCCTGTGGTAAAAGCTTACTGAGAATGAAGAAATTCAGGTTTAGATCCAGGGTAAACCTCACATTAAAAATTACATGCTTTATTATTACTGAGGTTTTATGACAGGACTGATGAGTATTTAACAGAAGGGAAAAAAAAGGAAAGAAAGAAAAAGAATGGAAACTGTTGAGAAGAGAGAAAAGCCTAATTCATCATCTCATTCACCCTCCTACTGAGGACATCTCACTCATTACTTATCTTTTTGGGTATTCTACCCCAAAGGCCTGTTATATTTTGTTCTTTTGTAGAGGGGTGACAGAATCACCTCCCTGGCTTGCAGGCCTGACCAGCAACTTCATGTCCCAGCCCTGGTGCTGAGCTAATTGACAGAGAGAAAATTCCTTCCCCTCTGCGTTCCTCACCTTTTCAGCCCATGGCTAGGACCTTGGGAGTTTTCTTTCTTGCTTTAAGTGCCAATTCAAAATTCCAAAGAAGCCCTTGAGGGCGGGTTTTCAGCTAAGTCCAAGCAGCTTCTAACTCTGCTTCAGCTTTCAAAGTTGGATATAGAAGAGAACTTTCATTTTTCCCACCTTAGGCAATGAAAATTCCCAGATGAAGGGATGCATCTGCAGAGGGTGAGACGAACATTTCTGGAGTTTCTGGAACCACCTGTTTCTCTTCCTGCTTTGATTGAGGAACTGGTGATTGTTGCATTGTTACCCCACTAAGTGTGTTGGGTTAAGCTGTGGCCCTCTGAGCTGTAGGCTCAGATCTGTGCTCTGCTTGTGCCAAAATATTGACAGAGCGTGGTTTTCTCTTGGCATGAGATGACAAAGCTTGGCTTTCTCCAAGCCAGGAGCTGAACTTTCCCAGTTCACATCCCATCTTTCATAACTCATGACCCTGTACAGCTCTGTCCTTGAGTAATGTGTCCCCTCCCCTTTCTAAGAAGGGCACATTTCAAGGGCATTAGCTGCAACAGGCTCTTCACCTGAGTAAACAGCCTGCTCTTTGGCAAACATATCATGTCAGTGACACTTTTAGGAACCCAGATTTCTCCTGAACTAAAATTACCCAATGTTTTCCCAGGAAAATTTACCATCCCAACAACGCTCAGCTGGGGATGGCCGTGATGCGGGCGGGAGTGACCCACTGGCACGCTGGCCTCATTGAAGCTGGCCATGGCTTGATCTGCAAAGCCTATGCCATTCTCCTGATAACCCATGGACCTTCCCACCCAATTACCAAAGACCTGGAGGTAGGTGCCATCTCCTGTCCTGTCTCTGCTCTCTACCTGGGCAGGATTACAGTTAAACTGTAGAAACAACAACCTATAAGAGCTGAGATGTATGAAGTGCTGACTGCTTCTTACCAGTGCTGTGGTTTTAATTAGATTCTGTTACATTCTGCTGGGAAATGCGTGTCCTTTCTTATTGGAAATTTTCATCCCTGAAAATTCCAGCGAAAATTCATCCCAGCTTTTATTCTGCACCAGGAGATACATGAGAAACGGCAGCTGAGCCCCTGAATCTTCTTCGAAATTGCTGTGCCAAAAGACAGAGCCCCCATTCTTCCAGCAGGCTGATTTCACTGCTCTCAGATGGATGACATTGCAATTTGAGTATATCAAATTACATGTGGTGGATGTGCCCAGTTTCCCACCTGATTTTCTTTATTGGTGTCCATTCTTCTTTATTTAGCACTCCCCACTCCTTCTCAGCAGCAGTGTTTTTTCCTCAGATGACTGATAGGTGCATTTCCTAGCTTAGAGTCAAGAGTGGAGATCCCAGGGAATTGCACCTGCTCAGATGTGAGGAATTATTTACAATTTCAGCTGAGGATCTATTATTTCTGTAGCCCGTAATTCACTTCATGTAACCTGTTTGCTTTATAGCATTCTCCTTTATTGCCCCCCCAAAAATTATAGGATACTAGATGAAATCCTTTATTGATGTCTTAGTCCCCATATAGCAGAGCTATAACCTTTATTGGTGCAATTTTATATCTTCAGAAAAATTAATATCTACTACCTAAAGCCAACCTGTTGACTGTTTCCATATGTGTAGCAAAGGATGAGACACAGCACCTCCATTTCTGTGTTTCCCTTCACATTTTAGGAAGAAAATAGCAGATATATGGCACATGCTTATCCCTGTGCTCCTAAACAAAGGGCTGAATAAACACACAGACGAGTGTAAATATATATCCTAGAATCCCTTCTGATCCTCTGCTATAATGCAGCACTAGGAATGACTGCTGCTGCTGAATCCTGGGGTCTAAAGGGTGCAACTGTGGGACTGAGCAACCTTCTTCTCCCACTTGAGGTGTCCCCCACCCTCGTGATGGGCCACCCCAAGGGCCAGGCCCAGGGTGTGGATGGGAAGTGCACTCATTTCCTGGCTCTGCACAGCATCACCTCCAGGTCCTGCATCACTTTTTGGAGTGTGAGGCTTCACAGTAGGCAGTGGAAAAGCTGGATGTGGGAAAGGCTGATGCTTCCTTCAGAACTCAGGCAAATGGGAGTGAGAAAGGAGCAGAATATTTGTGTCCAGCCAGCTTTGGTCCTGCTGGTGGGACACTGAGGGCAAGGTGCCTCAGCCACTGCATGGCCTAGGACATCCCTTGGGGACAGTGCCTGAAGCTGGCAGTGTTTGACTGACGTGCTTTGAGGTCCCTGTGTGCCAGGGTTTGTCACCTGCTGTGTCCCCAGGTCATGCGCGTGCAGACGGAGATGGAGCTGCGCATGTTCCAGCAGAACGAGTTCATGTATTACAAGATGAGGGAAGCTGCCCTCAAGAACCAGAAGATCCAAGTCATGCCTGAGCCCAGCAATGAGAATGCACCAAGCCTTTTCCACAAAAAGGAATAAACCCAGAGCTTGACACCAGTTCATGCCTGCAGGATACCATCACCCGTGGTACTTCCAAACACTGGGAATGTGATACAGCCATGGGATATATCCACAAGGATTGTTTCCAGTGGCACAAGTCTGACAGCATGGACCTGCTGGGGGAGCATCCTGAAAGCTCTTCTGAGGGCTTAAAGCAGAAGAGGTCCTGGCAGAAACAACACCCCTTTTTCTATCACTAAGGCATTAAATAATCAAAGAAAAAAAACTTGTTATAAAATTATTTACATTTTTATTGGAAGCATGTTTCTCTCTACACATGTCCTGGTTCTGAATTCCTTTGTTAAATTTTGATTGATTTTTCTGAAGAGGTTCTACCACTTCCTTGAGGGGAAATAATATCTTTCCAGTGCTGTCCAAGGGATGATAGAAGTGGGAAGCCAGTCCCAAGAAGTGTCATGTACACCTGTGGGCAATGAATGCAAACTGAACAAGACCCACAGATGGTGTTTTGTGTTAAATGATATTTTTTCTGCTGGAAAATGATTTTGCAGCTGGCACAGGTGCAACATCAAACTGTGGGCCATTTGCAAGTGAGACTACCTGGAATCCTTACATCAAGATACATTAATTGAGAAATTATTCTCCTTAGTTACAAATTAGAAAATGTCCACAGTGATGGACACAGGGCCATGCCAGAAGCCAGTTGCTATAGTTTGGTGCACTGGCTGTGTGGATTGTTCTAACTGGTCAAGGAGTTTCCAGGGAGGGGAATCCACCCTTGCTCACCTTTAGGGTGAGCTGGGGGCTCTGATGACTTAAAACATCTGCCTTTTATCTTAAATTGTTTAACCAATTTTTCACTGAGGAATAAAGGATAGTCCATAGATCAGCGGCCAGTGGACTGCTAACACAATTAAGGAGAAGTCTAATGGCTAAAGTTGGATTTCTAGACATTAAAAAATGTATTTGTTGTCTGCCCATATGTCTCAAAATCCAACTGATTTCCTGCACATTTTCAGTGGCAGCCAGGAGAGGAAAAAGTTTATTCAAGAATCTCCTACCTGCTCCTCAGCACAATAGCAAGAAAACAAAACCAGGGCTTTTTCTCTTTGACATTTCTCAGTGATTTTTCCTGATGTTTCTCCAGGTCTGAGTTCACTAAAGACCAACACCTGAGTTTTAGGGACTGTTTAGCTAAGCCCTTCCATTTGTCTGTGAGGTGCCTCTGCTGCCTTGTGTGACAATCCATATTGGTTCAGTTCTTGGCATGAGGATCAATGTTGATTTGTAATATGAAAAGCTTTCCTGGGTGCAGAGGAGTCCTGGCAGCAGCTTTGGAAAAGGCAGGTAAGAGGAAAGAGTTTCCTTTCCTGTGTGCAGCAGAAAACCACATCTCCACTTGGCTTGAAAAGAGTACAGGAGATGACTTTGGTGCTCCCTCTGTCTACACTGTGAACAACCAGCCCATCTCCTGCCAGGAGAGAAAACCTGTATTTCACCCTGGAAGAAGTGTTTCATTCCAGTTCAACCCAATTTATCAGGTGCAGCTTGGGGTGAAACACACACTGGATACCTGAAGGGAGTTGTGACCCTCCTGCTGGTGGGAAGGGGTGGGGAGGAGATGGGGATGGGGTGGCCAGAGCCTTTAGGGCTGGATCCCACTGCAGAGGTGTGAGGATGAAGACAGCAGCTGGTATCCCATGCTGGTTTCTTTCCCAAGGCAGCTTTCCAAACAGGGTCACTGGTGCTTCCTTGACTCCACCAAAACCACCCCAAATCCTTTGGCCCTGCTGGTCACTCTGATCACTTGGGCCATGTCTGCAAGGAAAGGGAACAGAGCCCTTTTCCTGCCCAGTGCTCCCCAGCCCAGATCAGCCACGGGTGCAGGACCCACCAGGGCACCCCCAGCAGGCTGCTGGCACCTGTCCCCAGGAAAGGGCTGGGAGAAACTCCTCAGCATGTGTCACTCAGTGGCTCTGAGCCTGTGCCTTGCCTCAGCTCCATTCTCCAACACCAGCACACCCTTAGGTCAGTTTGTTGCCCAATTTCTACCATTGCCTCCATGAGCTTTAGAGGCTTGTGTCTATTTATAGTAGCAATGAAGAGGTTGATGACAATGAAGAGGATTCAAAAAAAATTTTTATTTTAATGGCCCCATTTTACATGGTAAACTACTGGCATGTGTAATATTTCTAGATTCTCTTGCTGACTCTCTTCAAGGTGAGGTCACCCATGGTCATTGTCTGAAAAAGGAATGGAAAGTATTAGCTTTTTATGAATTTGTAGAATCATTGTATATCCCAAGATGAAAGGCACACATAAGGATCATCATGGTATTTAGCTCCAAACTATGCTTAGGATCTGGTCTTGCAAATCAAAACAGGACTGATCCCCAGTCTACCTCTCATAAACTGGGTTTTTAAAACTTTTAATTTCTTCATGACTATCCCAAAGCACATAGGGAAAAGCTGGTATCCCTCAGCTGGGATCAGTTTGCCTCACCTTTCTGCTCTAAGAGTGCCAAGTCCTGGCACATACCTGTTCCTCTGGCTGGGTGAGAACATGCCCTCATTACCCAAAACTTTGATCAGCCGTGCCTAAACTGGGGTCTTAAAAAGTACTTTCTGTATCATAGTCTACTGGGACACTGCCTTCAGCTCCTGGCTGCAGAGCCTGTGTGCAAGCACGTGCTCTGCTCCAGCACCTCCCAGTGCCTCTGCAGCTTCCTGGGGCAGGCTCCTGAAGGCAGCCCTGTTGTTCCAGCCATTGCCCTTCTACACTCACGTAGGTGATGGTGTCTCCGTTGAGCTCCGTGACGGATTTCATCCCTTTCACCTGTGTGACCAGTTTGTTGTTACCCTCCAGCTGCACAACAGCCTGGTGGAAGACAGAAGCATTCATGTTATTGCTGGAGACCACCTGGACCCCTGCATGCTGTCCTTCCCCTGCCACAGCAGGAGGGGACTGCAGAGCCACCTGAGCTGCACATCTGAAAAGGCTACAGACAGCACCAGCACCCTCAGGGCAGCTGTCACTGATCAATGAAATTAACCAAATAGATAAGACAGCAAAGCCCATTTCTGTTTATCTGTCTTGCCCAGCTATAAGATGTGTTCATTTGCCCTTGAGCTGCTGATGTACAGAGGCTAAAAGTCTTCTAATAACTCTTTCCAAAAGAGTTTATGCCAAAGGGGGTACAGAGATGCTGGAAATTGTGACACAGCTGGTAGAGCTCTCAGAGCCCCATTCACAGAGCATTTCTTTGGTGATCACCCCTCCTGCTTTCAAAAGTCCCTGCAATTCCATCTTCTCTTGAGGCAGAGATGAGAGGCAGATTTTGCCAGTGGTGTTGCCTTGACACTCTATGAACCATTGGAAACTAATGTCCAGGAAAGGGAGCACCCAAGTTAAAGGGTGGTAACTCCTCACCTTGCCAAATCATCTCCCCCAGGGTAACCTGAAGCAGTGAGAAAGGTAGCAGAGAAGCTACTGGGACTTAAAAGGAGATTTATTGGTTTATGATTGATGATCTGATTTTCCTGCACTACCTTTGAATCAACAAAATTAAGGCAGAGGTATGTTTTGTGTTGCAACACAACACAAAGTCAATCCTTTTCCACCTCAAATCTTTCAGAACTCTTCCTGTCAAAAATTTTTACCAAAGCATCTCCATCCCCTTTTTCCAAATGGGATATTAAAACACTGGCTTCTAATGTTTTCCAAAATTACTATTGAAATTCAGAAATTACTATTGAGATTCAGAAATACAAGGCTTCTTCTGCAGGAAGTGCAGTGCATTAATTAATACCTGTGGTATGGTCAGTCACTTTGCTCATATGCAGAGGGAATGGCTGGAAAGGAAATTTAATGTCCCTGAGCCTCCATGGCCCTGGCAGAGGAGGGGCTGCTCACTCACCTTCACTTTCTCTCCATTCAGCATCTCTATCTCACTCTCCTCTCCAATGGTGAACTGGTTTTTCACCACTTTGGAGCCAGTGGTTATGGTAACTGTGAACTTCTTCCCATCCTGCACAATTTCTGAGATGCTCTTGAGGTCCTTGCCCTTCTGGATCTGGTCCTCAGGGAGCCCTGCCCAGGAACAAAAGACATGGAGTGAACGGTGGAGCCATCTGTGGGCAGATTGCTGCTGCTGAACAAATCAATGTGGCAGCATTTGGGGACCTACAGCTAGGAAAATTTCTATTCCAGTGTGGAAAAACCTTTCAGTGATGGTGCTTCCCCAAGAGCCACATGTCCCTGAGTCTGCTGGGGAGGAAGATTAATTCTGTCATCCTGAATTTTGTGTGGGAACTAGGCACGTCCCGTGTCTTGCTGACCTGACTGGGAGCACAAACACCACCTCCCTAAGAATAAATCCTGCTTTCCTTCCTTCACTGACAGGCAAGGAAAAATGGATTAAATAAGACAGAATAAAGGAACAAAGCATTTTTTAATGAGATCCAGGATTCCTCAGAACCAGTTTATAAAATCTTTTCCCAAAGCCTGAAGGTGATCTGACAGGTAGAGCCATTCTGACATGTAACTGTGCAGAAATATTGCAAAGCCCCCTGGATCCCTGCAGGACCACATTCCCTGTCACAGACACAAGTGGAAATCTTTCAGACACATTCATCATTCAGCATTTAAACAACACCAACTATTGTTCTGATGAATGGTGGGATGTGAGGCTGTGCAGCATCACAGCTCAGTGGCTGAGCAATGTCCTGCTTGCCCCCAGATTTCACAGCCTGATGGAGCAGGTCTGCAGTGCCCCTAAGTCACCAAGGTCCTGCAGGCTTATCACATGTGTGCAGCACTCAGCCACACTGGCCAGTGGCTGCAGAACCTGCCAGGACTGACTTCCTGCAAGCCATAAAACTTCACCCATCATCTCTTGACCCCTCGCCCCAGACAGAGAGATGCTTTCTCTTCTATTTTGAGATCACATCTCCCCACAAATACATTTAAAACCCCAATAATTACAAGGTGACAGACAGAAATAGCAAATCTCAGAGATG